CTTACGATTATGTTAAACAGTTTCTTAAAATCAGTAAGAAAAAATATGACATGATTTATGATATATTATGGATGTTGGGTTATAGTCAAGAGAAAGGAGAAGATGTTAAAGAAAATATCAAATTATTTATTGAAAGTAAAAAGTTTAATGTTCAGAATACAGTGAGAGATGTTAATATTATTTTTAAAATGATGTATGAAAGAAGTAAGACAAACCAATTAGATTATTATCCTGAACTGAAATTATAATCATAATATAATAATAACATGTAAAATCTTATATGTTATAATTATACTGAACTTTTAACCTATAACACCCCTTAAACTTATCTAAAGAAATAACCCCTTAAACATATAGAGACCAATGACAGACAAAAAGCAATGTTCCAAATGTAAAGTCTTTCAATTGTTAGAAAAGTTCAACGAAGGAAGAAAACAATGTAATGTATGCTTGGAAAATAAACTACGGTATAGAGAAGCACACAAAGAACAAATACAGCAGAAGTCAAAGGAGTATTACGAAAACAACAAAGAACAAATAGCAGATAAGAATAAGACATATAGAGAGAATAACAAAGACGCTATACTAGAAAAGAAAAAGAATTATCGTGAAAACCATAAAGACGAAATAAAACAAAAAGCAAAAGACTATAGAGAGAAGAACAAAGAAGACATAAATGAAAAACAGAAAGACTATAACCAATTGAAAGTAGAATGTCCTTTATGTAAATGCTTTGTAGGAAAAGACAGAATGAAAAAACACCAACAAACAAGTAAGCACCAACTAAGAGTGAAAGGTCAAGAAAACAATAACGATACTGTGAGAGAATATATGGAAACAACAAGTGACTTTGAACAAGAATAGGAATAATCAAATGAACCACCAACACCCCAGAACAAAATAACTACTAAAAGGGCTAACTCTTTCAAATGAAAAAAATGTCGGCCCCCAGAAAATCCACCCCTAACACCCTACAACAAAATATAGGATGAAATCAAACAAGGGTGTTAAAACGTTGGATAACAACATTTGACCCAATAACCCCTACACTCCTCCCTCTTTCCCCCAGGCCCCCCCTTTTCTCCATTTTTTCCCCCCCCCCCCCCCTATGTTTGGCGGAGCCAGACGTTCTTGGTCGCTCTTGTTCAGCTCTATCATGGGGGGGCCCACCTATGTTTGACGGAGCCCGACGTTCTTCGTTGTTCTTGTTCAGCTCTATAATGGGGGCGCACCCCAACCCCCCCGCCTATGTTTGGCGAGCTGCGCCCCCCCCCCAACCCCCCCGCCTCTGTTTGGCGGAGCCCGGCGTTCTTCGTCGTTCTTGTTCAGTTCTATCACGGGGGGAGGCTGCGCCCCGCCCAACCCCCCCGCTATGTTTGGCGGAGTTGTTCAGTTCTATCATGGGGGGGGCGCAGCCCCCCCCCCCCAACCCCCCCGCCTATGTTTAACGGAGCCCGACCCGAAAATGGGATTGGGCTTTGGGATTCGAATCCCGAATCCCGAAATTGGGATTGGGATTGGCGATTTCCCGCTTTGGGATTCAAATCCCGAATGATTGGGATTGGCATCCCGTTTGGGCATCGAATCCCGAATCCCGAAATTGGGATTGGGATTCGCGAATCCCGCTTTGGGATTCGAATCCCGAATCCCCAATCCCGAAATTGGGATTGGGGTTCGCGAATCCCGCTTTGGGATTCGAATCCCGATTCCCGAATCCCGAATCCCGAAACTGGGATTGGGATTCGCGAATCCCGCTTTGGGATTCGAATCCCGAATCCCGAAATTGGAATTGGGATTCGCGAATCCCGTTTTGGGATTCGAATCCCGAATCCCGAATCCCGAAATTGGGATTGGGGTTCGCGAATCCCGCTTTGGGATTCGAATCCCGAATCCCGAAATTGGGATTGGGATTCGCGAATCCCGTTTTGGGATCCGAATCCCGAATCTCCAATCCCGAAATTGGGATTGGGGTTCGCGAATCCCGCTTTGGGATTCGAATCCCGAATCCTGAATCCCGAATCCCGAAACTGGGGTTGGGATTCGCGAATCCCGTTTTGGGATTCGAATCCCGAATCCCGAAATTGGGATTGGGATTCGCGAATCCCGTTTTGGGATTCGAAGCCCGAATCCCGAATCCCGAACCCGAATCCCGAAACTGGGATTGGGGTTCGCGAATCCCGATTTCCCGAATGGGGATTGGGATTCGCGAATCCCGTTTTGGGATTCGAATCCCGAATCCCGAATCCCGAAATGGGATTGGGATTGGCGACTCCCGCTTTGGGATTGAATCCCGAAATTGGGATTCGCGAATCCCGCTTTGGGATTCGAATCCCGAATGAAATTGGGATTGGGATTCGCGACTCCCGTTTTGGGATTCGAATCCCGAATCCCGAATGAAACTTGGGATTGGGATTCGCGAATCCCGTTTTGGGATTCGAATCCCGAATCCCGAAATTGGGATTGGGATTCGCGAATCCCGCTTTGGGATTCGAATCCCGAATCCCGAATCCCGAAATTGGGATTGGGGTTCGCGATCCCGTTTTGGGATTCGAATCCCGAATCCCGAAATTGGGATTGGGATTCGCGAATCCCGCTTTGGGATTCGAATCCCGAATCCCCAATCCCGAAATTGGGATTGGGGTTCGCAAATCCCGTTTTGGGATTCGAATCCCGAATCCCGAAAATCCCGAAACTGGGATTGGGATTCGCGAATCCCGTTTTGGGATTCGAATCCCGAATCCCGGGATTGGGATTCGCGAATCCCGAACCCCGAATCCCGAATCCCGAAACTGGGATTGGGGTTCGCGAATCCCGTTTTGGGATTCGAATCCCGAATCCCGAATCCCGAATCCCGAAACTGGGATTGGGATTCGCGAATCCCGTTTTGGGATTCGAATCCCGAATCCCGAAATTGGGATTGGGATTCGCGAATCCCGTTTGGGATTCGAATCCCGAATCCCGAATCCCGAAACTGGGATTGGGATTCGCGAATCCCGTTTTGGGATTCGAATCCCGAATCCCGAAATTGGGATTGGGATTCGCGAATCCCGTTTTGGGATTCGAATCCCGAATCCCGCCAGGCGGGGCGATCTCCGGATCGCCACTCCTCCAAGAACCGCAAGTTCGCTGAATTTTCAAAGCAGACAGGAGGTTGGAGGGAGGGCGGAGGGTTTAGGGAGCGGCGGGGGTCGGGGGAGGTCCTGAAAAATCTCCGAGGATTTGTCTCCCTGGGAGAGTTTTCCTTTAGGTGTTGCTTTCAAAAGTGGAACACAACGCGCGAAGCCTGAGGTTGGTCTCAGACTTTGGTGGAAGTTCAGGTCGGGACGGTTTTTCGTTGGTCTCCCAATGGCTTTTAGCACTTTGATAAATCCAAAATGGCTCTTCGGCACTTGCTGATGTCTCCTGAAAAGATAACAGCACCGTCCAAAAAAGACGAGCGAGTAGTGATAGAAACCAACACAGAAAATAAACACATATTCTGACATTCAATTGGAAGACTGGCTTTGGGGCAACATCTAGTATCATGTTAAATTGTGTTTCTTTGTTAAGAATCAACTTAAATAAAAGGGGTTGTGCGTATCAAAGATGGGTTGCAACATTCCACCCGGTCCGCAAAACCCATGATTACCAACAAAGGTTATGCAACAAAGTTGTTGTGGGTAAAACCATGGTTACCAACAAAGAATCACAAAACAAGTTGTTACCTCCCACTCAAAACACGCGCCAACAAAGGTTATGCAACAAAGTTGTTATGGTAAACCCATGGTTACCAACAAAGGTCAGTGCAACAAAGTTGTTATGGGTAAAACCATCGTGCTGGCCATGAAAATGCAACAAAGTTGTTATGGGTGAAAGTTGTGTTCCACTACAAAAAAACATATGCAACAAAGTTCTCGGTACCAACAAAGGTTGTGAACAAAGGACTCAAAACAAACCACCGTCTATGGAAATCCGCAAACCAACAAAGTCCTGAACACATCCAAATGGTTATCCAAAACTTGAAGCACTCGAAAAACTCCAAAACTCCGAAACATCATGGGAAACAAAGGGTATGCAACAACACTCTTGGGTAAACCCATGGTTACCAACAAAGTGGTTATGCAACAAAGTTGTCATACCAACAAAGGTTGTGCAACAAAGTTCGCGGTGCGGCTCGCGGCTCTTACCAACACAGGTTATGCAACAAAGTGTCCAGGGCCGACATCATGGGCTACCAACAAAGTGGTTGCCAAGCTGCCCGGATGGGTAAAACCATGGCTACGAACAAAGGGTATGCAACAAAGTTGTTATCAAAAAACCCATGGTTACCTTTGAAAGGTTATGCAACAGCACAAAGCTGGGTAAAGCCATGGTTTCGAAGTGGATCGAAATGTTATGGGTAAAAAATGGTCCATTCGCCAACACAGTTTTTATGGGTAAAAACCCCCATGGTTTTACAATGCTTTTTTGACCTGCCTTTTGTCCCACAGAAAAGAGAGAACTCCCCCCGGCTCCGCTCCGACCCCCAACAAAGAGTTTTGTTTGAGGGCCCCTCAGGTTGGGTTGGTTACTCTCCCGTTCCCCAACAAAGGTCGTTGTTATGATTTGGCTTTTCAGAACTTTTGCAGGGCTATTTTGATAAAAATCAGGAAAAAGTAGCACCTCCATTGGGCACAGACATACCGTCCAAACGCTGAGGTATCTCTCTTTTTTGTTGAACGTTTGTTAACTTAATTGACCCCCATTTTCAAGGGGAGAGAAAAGTTCTCAAACTTTAGCAGTTAAGTGGTTGGATTTCAAGCATTCAACCACACTAAGCAAAAATGTGTTCAATGATTCCCAACAACCATGTGAAGGCGTAAAGGGTGTGTCCGCCACTTTGCTATTCCCTAGGACTAGTGGAACAGGGCAGGTCCCTTTCAAGTACCAGAAACTCAAGCCACCCTTGTTTGAGTCAACCGGGGTGGGATGCCATCCCTTCAAACCATCGTGTAAAGCACCAAACTGCTTCAACAACCTCCTTACCAAGTTTCCACAACTTGCAGGGCCCGATGCACCACAGTTGTTTCAAAGGGCCAGGGCTTGACATTCACCATTTTTGTTTGAACGCTGTTTTGAAAGCGTTGCTCGAACTGTTGCTTCACAACCTCCCACGGTTCTTTTTCCCAACCCCCCTTTTGGTCTGCCTTTGAAAGGGTTGCACCGGGAAAAAAAAGAGGCCCAGAACAAATTGCAGCGTCTCTCTTGGTGGTTCGCCGAATCGGTTTGGTGGGAATCGGTGGCTTCCGATTTATCCTCAACAAGAACCCGGCCGCTTGAACTCCAAGTTTAAACTTGGTTGACGTTGGGTTAGAGGAGCAAAATTCTCAAACTGTAGCAGTGAAGTGGTTGGATTAAACCAACCACTCAACCACACTAAGCAAAAATGTGTTCAATGCTTCCCAATAACAACCATGTAAACCTGCAAGCCAAGGAGGGGAACCTGAAAACTGAGAACCTGCAAACCAATCAATGAGATGTACATATATATATATATGTATATATATGGTCAGCCCCCCAAGATCCACCCCGTATGTCTTGAAGTGTTGAAGTCTTTATACATATGTTGTATGACTTGATAATATACAAAAACATATATGTATAATGTACATTATATATCTTGTCAAAAAAATATAGGTATACAACAAATGGAAGAATGCGTATTATGTATATATATATATATATATATACACGGAATCCAACGGCCATTCGCCTCAGAGCAGGCCACGGAGATGCCGTCGCCCTCCGGGGACAGGACCTGGCAAAGACCGAAAACGGGCTGGACCTGATGTGTGTGTGTGTGTGTCCATAGGCATCCAATTTTCGGGGAAATAGATGGCCCTGGTGGATGATTAAACCACCAGGTAAACCAGGAATCGAAACCCATCTATTTTTCGACCACGACACCTAGGGGTATTCCTTTCCCTAAGCTCGAAATTTGGCCCAGCGGTGCAAGAAGCCTTTTGGCAAATGATCCTGTTTTTGGGTCTTGAAAATTAGGAAGCCCCCAAACGGTGGTGTTCGTTTTTGTTTCCCCCAAGAACAAACGTGGCTTCGGAAAAATGGGATTCGGAACTTGGGAAGCCCCACTCGCCAAATAGGATTCGGAACCCCCGACATGGATTCGGGTATCCTTTTGAATTTCCCTTTTAACCAAGGCGAAACGTGTACCCTCAAGAAAAGACGAGCCACCCACGTGTATGTATATATATATATGTGTGTTGTAATTTCCCAGCCGCTAACCAACAGACTCAAACCTCATTGAATCCAGCAGAAAAAAAATAAGCTCAGGTGATATCCCCAACAGCATGCGGTGCTCATTTTGGACCCCGCAGCCCTCGTGGAACCCTCGTAGAACCCTAGTAGAACCCTAGAGGAACCCTGGTGGAATTTTGGTGGAACCCTCGTGGAACCTTACCTCAGGGCCGCCCGGACCACACCGGAGCCTATCTGGGCTGAGACCCCAAAGCTTTCAGCTGTTGGGGGAAGAAGAAAAAAAGCCGCCCCCTCCCAAAGGGAGCCACGCCCCTCTCGAGGTCTTTTCGGTGCCTTGAGCTTCAGGCGGTCTCCCTCGGCCGCCACGTACTCCTCCACCTGCGAGAGAAAACACTTGGCCTCCCAACAACACGCCTAGGTCCTCCAGTAGAGAGGGTGGGTGGGGTGGGGTGGGGTGGGGTGGGGTGGGGTGGGGTGGGGTGGGGTGGGGTGGGGTGGGGGTGGGGTGGGGTGGGGTGGGGTGGGGTGGGGGGGGTGGGGTGGGGTGGGGTGGGGTGGGGTGGGGTGGGGTGGGGTGGGGTGGGGTGGGGTGGGGTGGGGTGGGGTGGGGTGGGGTTGGGGTGGGGTGGGGTTGGGGTGGGGTGGGGTTGGGGTGGGGTGGGGTGGGTGGGGTGGGGTGGGGTGGGGTGGGGTGGACCTCCAGATTTGAGAGGTGAGAATAAGTTGGTACCCACTCTTTTCTGTAGTCTATTTTAGTAGGGGAACCCTCCTAACCAAAAAAGGGGTGAGAAAGGGCACTATCCTGGGGGACCGAGACACATAGAACTAGAACCTGCACAAACCTCCTGAAGCTCAACGAAGTTTCCTCTCAAAAACCCCTGAGGCTCCAAGTTGTTGTTTTTGTTTTTTGTTTTTTTTCTTCGGGGGTATAGTAGGGTGAATGTAGAACGCACAATGTCCGGATTGTGGGTGAAAGGGATGATGAGCAGCCAACACAGAGGGGAACTGTGCCATCTACTTTCACCCAAATGTACCAACCTAGGTTATGCCTTACTGAGTGTCACATTAACGGGTTGCTGGTTACTCAAAAATCAGTTGTCCAACAGAGGCTTCCCCAATTCGATAACATTCTGCCAACTTGGCAAGTGGATACTGACCTACTCGCCTACAGATTGGGGAAATGGTTGGGTTATCTCTGACTTCCCTCAATCGCAGGAGCGTAGCTGCTGGGGAGGCGCACTTTTCCATAACCAGTTTCTCTCATGTTTACTCCTCTTCCTTTGCCTTCTACCGCAAATCATCTCCGCCATTCCCCCAACTTCGGTTTCCGGAAAAACGGGACTTGGCTGAGTCGCCCAGGAGCCAAAATGAATGACCCACTCGCCCCCCGCCCCCTAACCCCCCGGTTTTCGCGCGCCGCGCGCAAGCGCAAGCGCGCAAAAGTGCAAGCGCGCGCGAGCCCCGCCTCCTCCTCCTCGCCCTCCTCGGCGCGGCGAAGCACCGCGGGGCTGCGGGACGTGGGCCGAGGCCCCACGAAGCCCAGGGCCGTGCGCCTCGCGGGCGGCGGAGGAAGTCTGGGGACTTGGGCCGCGTCGGTCTTGGGTGCTGCCATGGGCCTTGATGGACCATGGTTGATGGACCATGGTTGACTCACTTGATGGCCCAACAAAAAGTTCAAACTTTATATTTGCCACTAAAATGGTCTTCCCAAAAAGTCTAAAGTTCATGAACTCAGGAGAGTTGATTCAAGGTCGCAAAAGCGGCTGGAATCCAAAGACAGCGCTGAACCAAACTGAGATCGCCAATAGATGCAGGCTTCAAATCACAGAATATCATGGAACGCTCTTCCTGAAGTAAGGTGATGCTCTTTGGGTCGATTCTGCAAGTTGGTGGACTTTCTGCTTCGGTTGATCTGCTCTTCCATTGGTGAAGTGGTCTCCACTGGTTCGATGGCCGAACGAGTTGGGACCGACAGAAACAATCCCTGCGTGTCATTCCCTCAGTCGGGTCATTCTTTGCTCCCCTTCTCGAACCAGACAGTCAAGTTGGGACACCACAAAACCTCGTTCGCAAAGCTTCCCACATTGTGAGGTCATCTGAAGTTAGGATTAAAAAACCCAAGTGGCTTTCATTTTATATCCGGGGCGGGAACGGAACGGTGGGGACTTCTGCGCTTCGGCCCTTCGCTTCGGCCTTGAGACGCCGAAATATCAGACAGCGCGAGTTCCGGGCCTTGGTGGCCCTGGATGGAAGAAAAAAAAACGCCGGGTAAGAGCCAGGAATCGAAGCCCATTTCGACTTTTCGACCAGACACCACCGAAAAAAGGACACCTATGCTTGGAATCGGTCAACCGGAGTTGCCACCTGTCGATTCATCCAAAGGACCCGATTCGCAGAAGAATTCATTTGGACCCAGGCTCGGGACACGGGAGGGTGACTGCCGTGTTCTCTGGGGCCAATTTGGGCATGTGACGCTGGAAACCATCAGTGTTCTCACCAAGAAACCCGTTCGGTCCCCCCCGTTTCCTCTTCCCACGTGACCCGCCTGGCAAGCAGTGCCAGAGCCCCGAAGAGGAGCAGAGCGATCGCCGGAGAGCGGGCCATGGCGACAGAAGTTTCACGAGTTGAGTCGGTCACGAAGAGACGCCTGAGTCGCCCTTGAGCCAAACGGCGAGATCGACGAGTCTCCAGGTCTGTTGCCGAAAAAACTGGAAACGGCAGATCCTGATTTAACCGAAGTACTTCTATCTCTTGTTCGTTCCCTGGTACCGACCCACTTGATGGCTAGGTACATTCTGGGGAGGATACTATGCGCAACAAGCCCCTTCAGGATGGGAATATCCTGTACTTCTTGAACTGTAGATGCTTTACTGTTGTATTGGGGACAAAGCCCAAACCTCCCGACACACCCAATGTTTCTCATAGACGGGGTTGTCTCAAAAGGGGCGTCCTTTCGTTCTCCCTCAACCCCAAAAAAGGCTGCCCCCGTAAAAGGACACATCCATATATCTGGGCTGATCAAGATTCCCTTCAGCCCCCAAATGACCAAGAGTAACTTTTCGCATGTGGGACCCGTTCATCTTTTCTGCTGGCTTTCCAATTTCAGAGCAATGGTCGTCCCACGAGCTTTGGAACCCCCCTTATATCTGGGCTGCTCAGAATTTCTCATGCTTTGGAACCCCCATGTTTTGTCCCCCAACCGACCCTTTTCTGCCAGGTTCCTTTTTGGTTTCCACTTCCCCTCCCCCCTTCCCCCCCCCCCCTCGCCCGGCATGGCCACCGCTCACCCCGAAAACGCGTCCCCGCGTCCCCGCGCCTGCGCCTCCTTCCTGGGCGCGGGGCCGGCCACCTTTGGCTTGGCCACCGCCTGACGTCCGACGCGCACTCGCTGGTGATCTAAGCTGTCTGGGTGGCTGGAAAACAGCCGTCGGGGTCAAAGGGAGACCATTTCCGGATGGGGACCAAAAGAAAACCGCATGCAAGGATCAAAGCCTATTAAAATCTTGCTGGCGAGACTCTACAGAAAGTTGGTCACTTCTTATGGGTCCAATGGAAACCCGAGCTGTTTCAACCAGAATATCCGTTACCAAATAGCCGTGAAGACCAGACGCTCCAAATCCAACACAAACCATATGGGTGGCTCGTCCTTTTCTTTTACGAAGGTGTTCCTACTGGTTTCCTGTGAAACCCACAAAGAGGGTAGCCTCAAAAAACACACACCCATATGGAAATCCTTGTTCTAAACACAAGCTGATGAGGTTGGACAAAAATGCAACCAACTCATCTGAGTTTGGTCAACCCTAGCTTTCAACCAGACGGTCCAAATCCTGCAAAGCAACAACGCCAACCTTTGGGAAGTGCTCTTGCTTCACCACAGCTTGGCAAGCCACAGTAGGTCACCAGCTACTTGTGTCCTCTCGATTTCTACCTCCCCCGCTTTTTTTGTTGGCTTTAGTGGCTTTCTTGGCAGCACTGAGTGGGCCTGGGTCAAAATTAAGCCACCAGGCTATGGACTGCAGGTTTGAATGTCCATGTTTCCATCTACCGATCAGGCAACTTCCATTTTGGGGTTACCCTCTTTTTGAACCACCGCCCGTCACCCAGTTCTTCCCATCGGCGCGTGACAGAGTTCCAAGGCCCAGCCTGCTGGGGCCGCAGGCGGAACCGCAGGTCCACCACCGCCTCGACTCGAGCCCGAATCGCGGCTAGGAACCGTTTCCGAATGCCCGACTGGGACCGGAAGCCAGGAACTCAAAACACGCGAGGTCCGCTTTTCCTTTCGGAACTCAAAAGGATGGCATTCGAAAAGGAGGTCTCAACCTTTTCGGAAAAGTGGGGCAAACCAAGAGGAAGCCCAAGACAAGTTGATGGCCTTTGGCCCGACTCAAGCCTAGGGCACCCTGAAACTGGTCAGAGTTGAATCCAGGCCGGTGGCGAAATCCGCTCACACCCACGAAATGCCCATGGTTGAAACCATAAGATGTGTTGCATATTTACAGGGTTTCCCAGGTGGTGCGACATGGATTTCATCCATTTCATCCATTTCATCCATCCACCACTAGGGGCACCAAGGGAAGCCACCTTCGTGTTTTGGCGTTGAACGGGATTCTTTGCCTCGCTACTTATGTCTTTGTTGTTTGTAGAGAAAGCAAGGGACAACAGGAACGACCCGCTGGTCAAGAGTTTGCCTAGATTGACCGTCAATGACTGTGGCGAACCAGAGCACCCCTCTGCTGCCGGTCGGCGCTATGCACCGCCAGATTCAGCAGGCAGAAGTGGCACTCGTCGAAGACCACGGGGCAGAAGTCGTGCAGGCCCCTCTCCTGGAGGAATGGGGGGGGAGGCTCTTTTTTTGAGGGTACCCTTTTTGAGGTGGCTGTAAAGGAAAACGAAATGGAAACCACCCCTGTGTGGAGGTTCCCTCCACAAAAAAATCAAACCCAAACGCATTCACAGTGAGGTTCGGAGCTTCGGCGGATTGGGTGTTTCTTACAGACTCTTCAAAGCACCACATTGGTGCTACTGGTACCTTAATCGCGAAACGGTGCATCCTTTACGCCGCATAAGGATTAGTGCCAAAATGGGAGGATTGCCCAGCTCCACTGGGCAGCTCCCCTCAGCAGCTGATGGGAGTAGAATTGATGCCACTCCCACAGCGAGGGAGGAATCCTCCCACCTCACCGGATGCCCTCCCGGCATCATGGGTGAGGAAGGAAAGTAGCGAAGATCAGCTTGATCAATTCGCTTTCGACTGAGGGGAAGACCCGGTTCTCAGTCGGAAATTGCGGGTCCGGATGAGTAAGTTCATCCGCCCATGTGTTAAAGTCGCGCTTCACATGCGACGGTCCTAACATGACCTGGTGGTCATGCAGTGTTAACACAATTTCCATGAGGATGGCCGCATTGGGCATCCTGCGAGTGGAATCGTTAAGCAGGGAGAAAACGTTTCCCTGGTTATCACTAGCAACCAGAATCCTAGTGTGAGAAGCCGAGCCGGCTGCACAAAGCAGAACAGCCCTCACCAAAAGGAGGAGGCCGAAGAGCTCCAAGGCCGCTATCGCCCGCTGCGGGTCCCCAGTAGTGAAGGCCCACGGCTCGCCCTCCGGTGTGATTCTGTGTTGGAACCACTTCACTCGGGACTTGTCGGGGTTGGGCACGTCCGAGCACCAACCACCAACCCATGCATGGTCCGCCTGTTTGCCAGCTCCCGCATCAGATGCCCCCGTCCATGGAAGTGTGGGAGCAAATGGAGATGCCAGTGGGAACCTCTGGTTGAAGAGCTTCCCCAGAAGGATGGCCAGAGCACGAACCAGCTTCGGTGGCCTGCCCGAAGTGGTGCAGGCCTTCTTCCAGCTCCAAAAGGGCTGGAGGAAAGGTTTCGTCAATGGACACGCCGAAGTAGCCCATTGAATCCGGCCCAGGGCTTGTTCCACCTCCTTGCTGGTAAAGATGTCCCCCTGGGCCAGCCGTTTGAGAGTGGCCAGGATTATGACGTGCTTGACTGGAGCCAGCAGCACACAGGGCGTGATTGGGTCCACCACGAATCCCAACCAGGTATTGACCGGGGAGAGCGCCGTCTTCTTCCAAGAAAGCGGGACTCCCAGCGCCAGAAGAGTGGCCAGGATGGCTGTGGCGTCCCAGTCCGCCCTGCTGCATCTGAGGACCCAGCAGTAGTCGTCCACAAAAACTAAGTGCCAGTCCACCTGAGGGAAGATGTAGTACAAGAGTCTGAGCACCAAGGATGCCTTTCTTCCCCAGTACAGTTGTGCCGAGGCCATGCCGTACGTGCCCACTCTATTGACCCACCACCGGTTCTGGATGCAGGCCACCTGGTATTTCCAGTCTTTCTGGAGCACTTTTATGCGCCTGTGGGCCTTGGTGACATCCGCCTTGAGGATGATGAAGGTTTCCCCCTGTGTCGGCGGCTGCCACGTCAGGGGTTCCCCCCTGCTCCCCCCAGGGCGTTCCGTGCCTGGGGGGGTTGGGGGGAATGGGGCCCTCCTATCAGGGCCCTCGGCACCTGGGAGTGGCCCCTTCCCTGAGGGTGTTGACCGCGGAGAGACGTCCAGGCCGCCGGAGGTCTCCATCATCCGCCTGCCCCTATCAGGGCCCTCGGCACCTGGGGGCAGGCTGGTGCTGTGGGGGTCCCTCTCAGGGCCCTCGGCACCTGGGGACTGCCCCTGCACCGGCTGGTGAACATCCCGAGGTTCCTCATCAGTGCCCGAGGATGGGGCTCGGAGTAGATGAGGATGGTCCGCCGCTGTCCTGAGCCAGTGGATGGCATGGAGGCAGTCTCCAACCATCGGTGCGGTGGTCTTCTCCTCCGTGTGAGCCTGGATGTGTGCGTTTGCTCCCCCTTTTGAGCCATCATAGATCGTCCTGATCTTGTCCGACTCATCAATCCCTGCAAGGGGGCCCGGGCAAAGTTCCTCCGGTTTGCAGCGGCACCTCTCTGCCGCCTCGGAGCGAGTGAAGGGCCCGTCCACCATGTCCAAGGCTCGTTCCTCGTAAAAGGTTGATTCGATTTCCTTGGCAAAGAGTTCAGCCGTTGGGTAGTTATCATGAGCCACTGGCGGGGGGGGATCTTCCCCCAGCCAGGCTTCTCCCTTAAGCTCCTCCTTAGTGGGCCAAACTCCCGGGGAGGTCAAGGTAGGGTCCGAGACTCCCAAGGGGACCCCCTCTTTCAGTGTTAGGGGGAACTCCCAATCAGGGTCACCTGAAAGGGATGCCAAGTGCGACACTAAGTCCAGGAGGAAGGGTTGTCCTGGGCATCGTTCATGGAGGTGCCTCGGTCCTAGGATAGCCCGCAGCTCCTCCTGAGGGATGGGGGGGGAAAACCTTTCCCAGAAAGGCTCAACCCCCCTTTTCGGAGAATTTCCCCATTGGCTACTTTGGGCACCCTGATCTTGACCCTTACCCGGCCCTGGATTGACAAGGTCCGAATGTCCCTGGCATCAGGTGCCACCACACACCCCTTCCAGGAAGCCGACCTCGGGGCGTGAGCGGAAACCCAATTGGACAATCGCCACCCGGTCAGTGGGGTGTGGGGCCCTGAAAGCGGGCAGGCATTCGGGGCGGTCCAGGAACCTGGTCCCCCTGTCCCTCCTTCCCCAGTTGTTCCGCATCTCCGGCCATCGGGGGCATGGGAGATGGGAAGTCTGGGTTCATTGTTCCACGAGGGCTTACGGTGTCTGCCTCAGGGTGGAACTGCCCGTGCAGGCGGGGCTTCGGGGCGTTCTTGCCTCCGGGCTTTGAGCCCTGGTGTGATGAGGAGGGACCGCCTCCTTGACTGGGCCCCCGTTTTCCCCGGGGGGAATGGCCTTCCGGGGGGTCCGACCCCCGCCCCTTAGGTGGTTCCTTGGGGTTTCCCGGAAATTGTGAGGGGATCCGGATGTGCCCCGGCGCTGCGAGTGACACAGCGATGGCTTTGGCCAGGCCTGCCATCATATCCCAAGGGTATCTGCTAAGAGTCGAGGACTCGTTGGTGCCCACATGTGACTGATGCGTGCACCGCATTTGATCCCAGTCCTGGATCGGGAGATCCGTGGCCAGCGTAGTGGCCTTCTTGACCAGCTGGCCCAGGCGGCACTGGTCGAAGGAGATTGCTGTCAAGGAGTTCTCCTCCATCCAAAGCTGCCCCTCCTCTGTGATCCAGAAGGATGAGCATTCCTTGGCTTTGGGCAGCGAGCTGCTCACCACTGGGTCCTCCGGGTGTTCCAGGAAGGACCTGGGCCCTGGCAGAGAAACCGCCGCTCGTGAGGCCCTTGCCAGGCTGGTGATGTACATCTGTCTCAGAATGAGGATGCTGTCATCATCAAGTTGAGTCTGGGCGGCCTGGTCCAGGTGTGGAAGGCCCCAAAGTGTCTCTGGAGTGCGCCCTCGCACCGGGGTGGGAGCCCCCGGTTTTGGTATGTGGCGCAGGATGGACCATGTCCTGCAGTTGGGTCCTCCTCCAATGAAGACCACTCGGCCCTGCTTTGCTGCCGTGCAAAGAGCTCCATACAGCTCGGGTTGGAGCATATCGTGGTCCCCTTTTGGTCCAGACCGTAGGATGTCTACCGCCACCACCATGCTGGAAAGGTGTGGGTAGTTGGCATGAAGACAGCTGTCCAAGGAAGTTGGGTCTTCCTTGCCTGCATAGAGCAGGACAATGATGGGCCCACTGGATGGAACTTTGGGCGATGTGCCCTGTGTCCATCTCAGCCGCTGTACCAGACGCTCAGGGATGTTCTCCATCCACGGGAAGATGTCCAATCCCGGTGACGGCTCCGTTGGACTTGTCAGGGGGGTAGCTGAAAGGCGTTGGCCCCCTTCATTCAGCCCCACCGAGCTCTTGTGGAAAACCACCGGGTCCTGCTTGATGATGTTGGGCGCCGGAAGTGGGATCGGCTGCTTCCTGGGAGTGTCCCTTGGCGTTGCGGTGTGCTGCCAGTCATCCGGCACTCGGGCCTTCTGGGTGCGGCCCCCCGTGTCAGGGCCCTCGGCACCTGCGGGGAACCGTCCCGTCCCCGCCATATCAGGGCCCTCGGCACCTGTGGCTCGGGACTGAGGCGCCGCCGTTGTGCCGGTTGTGTGGCTGTTCTGATCACGGCGAGGGCGTTGTGCACGCTGGTTCTGCCGTCCCCATCCTTGTTCCGCCGAGGATGGCCGCCACCTGGCCTGTCCCCCCCCTGTGTCAGGGCCCTCGGCACCTGCAGGAGGGGGCTTCTGTGCCTGCCTGGGGCGTTTGCGCCCCTTCTCGCCCCCCCGGGCCTTATCAGGGCCCTCGGCACCTGAGGCCTCCCGGGGGGTAGGGGTCAGCGCCCCTAGTCAACCCGGGCAGTCGCGCTTACCAGGTATTTCATGGGGATGAAACCGATCTCGCCTCCTGCGCAGAGCTTGAACTGGCGCTTCACCAGCTGGTCGCTTCCTTGAAGGGCCAGCTTGGGTTTGGTGAGCTTGGTCTTCTCCTCCCAAACCCTCTCCAGCTGTCCCCGTTCGCACGAGACCGTGAGATTCGGGGCGGTGTCCCCGGGCGTGTGTGGCCCGGGTCCCGCTGTTGCATGCGCCCCAACTCCCATGGATCGTTGAGCCGCGTGAACCACCTGGAACATGCGGGCCGCGATCAGCCGGGAGGTCACATCCGTGTAGTGGTGGTTGTTGGGGGCGAAGCCCAACTCCCCCGGCGCCGTCTCCCTTGCACGGTCGGGCGAGTCCCACCGGGTCGCGAGGTCCTCCATCGAGACAAAGCCCTCATCCGACAGTGTCGCTTGGATGAACCACGGGATGCCCTTGAGGACCATGAGGTTCCTGGCGGTCTTGTGGAGCTTAGCCACTGCGTCCG